TCTCTTTCCTCCTGTTATTTCTGTTTTCTTGTCCTTTGCCAAAAGGGTTGCCTGTTTTTCATATGCAAATTTAATCATAGGAGACAGCAAGAAGCTGGTGTAAATATAAATATAACGTCATTTCCTTCAGATGCTCTAGTTTGCTTCCACAGTCTAAAGACCTGAAGGTTAGGTTAACCGGAACTCTCGTGTTAGTTGGCTGGCAATGCACATGTCAGGTAAAACTCAAAGGTAAACAATTTAAGGTGTCACAAGGCATGTTGAAAGTGTTTAATTATTAAGGGAAATGTATGCCATCTGCTGGTCACCCTGTGGTTGAAGACATACTGTATGTCAGGAAAAGTAACACCACCATAATATTGAAATACTCAATTACAAGTTAAGGTCTTACAAATTAAAGTAGGTAAAACTACAAAAATGTTGTTAAAGTACTCAATTTAGAAAAGAAGGCCTATGCATTGATGCATAAGCAGCAATGCAGTACTAATGCATCATGTTGTGTTTGTAAAATCTTAACATATAAAGCAACTTGCAATTATAACTGTTAGATAAATGCAGAAGGGTAAGAAATATATCTCCCTCTGTATCCAACCAATGCTAATCCAAAATCAAAGGATTTGTGCAAATGGAAATGTAGTGGATATATGGGTATAAATATAATTGTCAATAAAGGGAAATAGTCAAGCAAAGCACAAACATTAGTTGTAGATACAGTATTTTTGAACTTTCTCAGAAAACATATATTTCAGTGTTTGATTTTGTCATTGTTGTCACTGACATTTATCTGCTTTCTGTTGATCCAGGGAACCTGTAAAACTCACCTAATATATTAGCATAACTCCTCTAAAACACAACATGGTGGAATATTTAAATGGACTAAACTGTTTATTGTCAGTGAGTGTTCCACCTGTCACTTCATTCTTAAGAAAATGAAAGTCAGGTATAAAGGTGAGGTGTGTTCCTGGATGAGAGCATAACCTGAATAGCTTGAATGGAGCGGTATTCTCCTTTTAAAGGTGTGGGCGGGGAGCAGAGTAGGGTTTCAGTGCCATCCCCTTTTCTATTCTCACACACAGTTCAGGCACACTCTGTGTGTGCTTTGGATTTAGCTTCAAGCTTTCCTGGCCAGCTACATGTTTAGCTGCCATCAGTGAAGGACTATGATACGACACAGCACTGGGGAACTTCCACAGCTTGTCCACACCTTTTCTGAAAGGTCACTGACCCAGTTTGACTTGTATTCGTCAATGACCCTGAACTTTCATGTGTCGGATAAGCACTTTTGTCAAATGAGGACATGGCCAAAGTGCACAGGCTCTATGTAGGCATAGTAACAGGTAAGACATGCCTTTCTACTTGGTTCAATGTTCACTTTCCCATGTTAACAGAGTTTATAATATAATCATTTAGATTTAAAGTTTATAATACAAATTTTATTACATTAGAATGTTGTCACACCAAACAGACACATTAGAGTAATGTTTACATATAATTTGCTTGGCCAAGCTGGTTTGGAGACAGTGTTTTCTCTACTGAGTAATGTTTGTACAGAAGACTTCCCTGTTGGTTAATGATTGAATGAAAAATACATACACCAGGTATACTGTACCTCACCTGTGGGTACTATCAGCATCAAAACAGGCTTACCAAATGAAATGTGGAACAAATATGACATTTGAGAGCCCGTAGAAATATCCTCATATATCTAGGTTTATTCAGTCAGTGGTAAAATAGATTTAACTGGTTTGAGAGTAGCCAGGGAAGATAATATGATTTGTGTTTTGAGTATTAAGGTATGTGTGCTATTGAAGTGGGTGTGAATGAGAGAAATCACCAGTGCTCCTACCCTAAAAGGCTGGCTAGCATGACTCACCAGCAATGCACCAAAAACTGATTGCAATCATGTTTTTCTTTCTGTTATCTTTTATATAGATCCAATACTGGAGGTGGAATGTGGCCACAGATTGGCTAAAATGTTTGCACATTGTGCATGTGTGTAATATTTGCTTGCTGTGAGTGTGTGTGATTGACTTTTTGTTTGTGTTTCCGGCTGCAGCACTGGCCTTATACAAATACTGCCTGGCAGAGTGGAATGCCACCGACGAATCTGCCAATCCAACTGTGTCCTATTGTCATCGCCATGGCAACAGAGACAATTGCACAGGTAGATATGGACAGGAGGTGAGGGGCGGTTCTTTCACTGTGCCATAAAGAGTTGGCTTCTTTGAAGTTTTAAGGTAGAGGTTTAATGGGAAAACTGGGCAAAGCACAGGTGTGGACATTCACGGTGCAAACACCTGTACAGAAGCACACTTAACATGAAAGAAAAAGAGAAAATACAGAGATACAGGCATCCACATTATCCAGAACAGGACTATGTTGCGCCTGCAACTCATACATCCATTACTAGGTTTCAACATACTGTAGTCTTTCCCAATTGTCAAAGTAAGGTTGCATCATCGTAACACCGTTTAATAAAAAGAAAAACTATGCAAACAGGAAGTAGCTGTAGTATCAGTAGGCTTAGCTAAAAGACTGGAATCAAGTGCTAAAAAACAGATGTTGGTATACTTTTTCTCCCTAGAACTGAGTCAGGCTAGTAGTTTATCACGTTAAGTTAAACTAAGCTAAGCTAACCAATCTGCTTCCTGCAGCATCATAGTCACTAAGCAGACATGAGAGTGGTATCTGTCTTGTCATCTAACTCAAAGTCCTTTTAAAATAGGTAACTGGATATTTTCCTTTTTAACAAAGAGGTCATGGCAGCAAGCTGGATCTCAAGTTTCAGCTTAACTGAGGCGCTCTCATTGATGTCACCTGAACAGCAGTATTGCTTTACAAGCTCGTTTTCAAAGACAAAGGTAATCTTGTAGGAAGGGGTTGTAAAGATAGGGGCATCCTGTGGTATGAGAAGCACTATGGTGGTCAGATGTTCAGCATTATGACCTACTACCAGCTGCTTTAGGGTGTGTTTGGGAGTGCTGGAAGTTACTAAGGAAATGGGAGACAGAAGGAAAAATATTATAACTGCATCCCAACATTTCATTTTGTTTAGTAAGGAACTGTATTAATTGAAACACATAGCTTACAAGAACTTGATGACATCAGGCTTTTTCTTACACTGAATCATCAGGCTTCCTCTCTGGATCATATTGCAAAGTCTATTTATATATTAGGCCATGCCAGAAGGTGAGGACATAAACCAAAGAAGCAAGATGACATAATGTGACCAAGTTATAAAAACAAATCAGAATTTTAAGAAATGCATTTATTCTTTATTCTGAGAAGTTTGATGCCATTCTCATATTTGTATACCAAATGACAACTGTCCTGGAAAAACAAAAGTAGCTTTTGGCTGTTTCAGTAAAAACCATAAAAACATAATACACTGCAGCCTCTATCAGCTGTTTTAATTATTACTGTGTCCTTTCTGAGCAAAGGAGGAAGGTTTGTGACATTAAGCAAGTAGTAACTTTTTAACAAACATTAACCAACTGATTTTTGTGCTTAAACCTTGGTTAGGGGTATAAGATAGTGCTGAGATCAGAGAACGGTGTTATTTTTATGATATGACATCAGATTAGATAATGCTTATTTGTGATGTCTGGAGAGCAACATACTGTGGCATTTCATGTGGAGGACTTGTTGGTTACTGCCACCAGGTGATTAGCTCATCTTAACATAAAGAATCAGGGCAAATAGGGGCACAAGTTGCAGTTTTATTTTAGAATATGTTGGAGTGTGTGCTTTTCTTAACCGGGAGCAGAGGTGTGTTAATTTGGGAGCCTCAGAAGTGTTAAGTGGGCAGGCCAGCTGTTTCCTTCTGCTTTAGTCTTTATGCTAAGCCGCTGTTATCGAACAAATAGACCACAGAATGAGAGTGATATAGATTTCATCATCTTACTCTTGGCAAGAAGACAAATAAGCGTATTCCTTTATTTCCTAAAACTCAACATGTTGAAAAAGAAACTCGTACCTTTGTTATGCACCGTTCGCACCTGTCAGTGAGCGAACGAGAAAGAGGCGAACCCAGGTAGCCGACTTCGATGCAAGCAGTGATTTATTATGTACAGTGATGATGAGGGTAAGAATACACAGAGGGAAATAGTACGTAGTCCTGTCGAT